AAGTTTTGGCGAAAGCGCTAGGTTAATTGCTAAAAAATTGATGATTACAAACTTGTATTGCGATTTGTAGTCTCACGATTTTTTAGTGGCAAAGATTGAACACATTGTTTCAAATACAAATCAATCGATTAGCGATTAAATAATTACAGTAATTAAGAAAACGCAACCTGACTTATTTTTACCGCGATGCGATAGTCGCTCTACCACAATTGATCATATCGACAAGCATAGATATGCATCCACTTACCAATGTTTAGTCGGGATTCTGAAGCCAGTTCAGCCTGATGTGTCTTCAACAATATTTAGTTTTAAATTTTTTAAAATGTCGAAAACGGGGAATATGCTGGAAACGTTGGAGGCATTTTGAGTACTATTGTTTCAGAGCAGTTGATCCATCAAAAGTACTTTTTAACATTCGCAAGCATAGAAAAAAATTTCAGGATACTCACATAAATCTTCAAATTACATGTAGAACTGTCAAAGAAAAGACCATATTGCCATGAGAAGACCAAATGCGATACTAAGAAATGTGCTGGCAAATGCCCTGGTATGCACGCCAAAAGTGAAGAAACGATAAGAACTATATTTGTAGCATTTATACTACAATAAGTTATAGTTGTATAAGAGTAGTATAATAAGTTATATCTTATTCATCCAATATGAGTAAAATGAAGAAACCATTCACGGATATTTGTGATCACAAATTTAATATAAAATACATTTTCTGTTAGTTTAACAAATAATTTTTGAGTTTGGAATTTTAAAATAAATATTTAATTTCGCAAAAATGACAGTTACAATTTTGGTGAAAGCGATTTTGGCAGTTTAAGTTTTGGCGAAAGGGTAAGGTTAATTTTTCAAAATTTGAGGATGTTTAAAATATGTAAAATAAAAACATATTCTTTAAGTGCAAACAGTTTTAAAAAGAAATATTATTTATAAACAGATACTGTACATCTATGACTAAACTAGTCCAGAACTAAAATAATTTCTTTTTAAGGTTTAAGATGTCACACAAAGAAAGTGGATAAAACTGGATATCTAATAATTAAAATTCAGACTTTATTAAGTAAATGTATCTAAAATGAAACCATTTATGGTTATATTTATGGCTTTAGATTTATTTTTTACATTGAATAGTTCCATTGATTAGTTACACTGAAAAACGTTTTGTGGTTTTATTAAGTCATAAGATTATGTTTCCTATTTTTCATACAACCGGAGATATATTTAAGATTCTTATGGCTGAATTTGTAACAAATTAGGATTCCTAAAATTTACACTGTCAAAAACGCTCTCGCCAAAAATTTAACTGTCATTTTGTAAAATGGTTAAAATTTACTTTGTATACTTGATTCACTGATCCCGAGTCCTAAGTGTGTAGTAAATGTAATAATCCATTCTTCGCTATGTTGGATAAATTTTGACTACGACTGTAAGTGGCTGGAAGTGTACTCTTCAACCAAGCACATGTGCTTAAGGAGAATACTAATTTTAACTTAAAGTAAGTAAAGTAAAAAGTTTTTATTTAAAATTAATAAGTACCTAGGCATTCTCATTATTCAAGATTATTATTCTTTATCAAAATACAGAAGTCTGCAACAGTAAGTTTACTTCTCTCTGATCCCAGTCCCAACTGTCTACTAAACTTGGTAATCATTTTTTGCTAATTTGGATAAATTTTTTGCCGTCTAGAAGTTACTACACGAGAAACAGCTTTCTGAGTGAATACTTTTGTACAAAACTGCATAGACCAACGAAAAGATATATTCATCACATTCTTCAATTATGAAAAAGCGTTTGACACTGTAAAACACGATGCAATTTTAAAAATATTACACAACTCTAACATTGACGAGATAGATATAAGAGTAATCCAGAATCTCTATTGGAATCAACAAGACGAGTGAGGTTGAACAAATTAATGAACAGAGGAATTTTAAATTTTAAGATGGGTGCGACAGGGGTGTATTTTGTCTACCGTGCTGTGCTATAAATAACATTTGTTACGTCGAAGACCCCGCTATAATCACAAACAACAAACATCATATGCAGTTGATGCTAAATAAAATAAATACCATAGTAAAAATATACGGCTTCAAGATAAATGTTGGAAAAACTAAATGAATTCTTCTTCTCGTGCCACTCCTAGCGGAGATTGGAAATCATCCAAGCCTAACAAGTTCAATCGAACTACACCCGAACCATTCACGTAGATTACGAAGCCACGATATTTTTCTTCTTCCCACACTTCTTTTGCCCTTAATTTTGCCCTGCATGATGTTTCTTAAAAGTTCGTACTTTTCACCTCTCACAATGTGCCCCAAGTATTCCATCTTTCTAGTTTTTATCTCATTTAGAATTTCGCATTTTTTGTCTAAAGTTTGGAGTACTTACGAGTTAGTGACGCGGTCCATCCATGATATTCTGAGAATGCGCCTATAGCACCACATCTCGAAAGCTTCGATGTTTTTTATGGTCAACTGTTTTAGTGTCCAAGCCTCAACTCCATATAACAAGGTAGAAAAGACATAACACCGTAGCATTCGTATTCGTAACTTTATATTGATATCACGATTGCAAAAGAGTTTGCGCATTCTATTAAAGACTGATCTAGCGATTTCTATTCTACATATAATCTCTTTTGTTTGATCAGTATCGTCTGTGATCCAAGCACCTAGATATTTATAACAGGGCACACGCTCAATCGTTGTATTGTCTATTAAAAGATTAGCTCTGATGTTCTTTGATTTTGTGATTACCATAAATTTAGTTTTTTTCAAATTAATTTTCAAGCCGTAACTGTTACAGTATATATTGAGACTTTGAACGAGATGTTGTAGTTCTACTAGCGTTCCCGTTAGGAGAACTGTATCGTCAGCATACCTTATATTGTTGATCGTCTCACCATTTATTATCAGACCAAGATCTTCTTCCTCGGGTGCTTGTTCACAGATAGCTTCTAGCACAGATAGCATACTAACTAAATGTATGGCAATAAGAAAAAATACACATTTAAGAGTACAGCTGCAAGTAGATAACGCTCCAATCAAGCAAGTGGAACCATTCAAATACTTGGGAATGATAGTGAATGACCAATGGGATCCTCAACAAGAAATAAAGTGCAACACCGAACAAGCAAGACCAGCTTTTATTAAATTTAAACCGCTACTATGGAAACGCAATCTTTCCTTCAATCTCCGCTGCAGGATAGTGAAATGCTAGGTATGGTCCATATTGTTATACGGCATGGAGTCGTGGACGTTAACAATATCGTCTATTAATAAGTTCGAGGCCTTCGAAATGTGGACCTTGTGAAGAATGTTTCGCATATCATGGAAATATAGGATAAGAAACGAGGAAGTCTTAATAAGTGCAACTAATGAGAGAGAATTACTCAACTTGATCAAGGTAAAAAAGTGGTTTTGTTATCTCATTATCTTCATTTTCTGCCTCTTCCAATAGTTAATGTAGTGTGTGTTCTACAGCATCATTGAGTTTTTCAGTCAATAGTTTTTCAAAATATATTTATGTCAAATATGATAAAGTGCAAAATTACATCTGGTACAAACTATTGTAATATCTTCCGGTAGCATCTAATGACACCGTAGCCGAAGAACTGATCTATTCGGGTAAGATATGTGATCCAAAAATATTCTGAAATGCATAGACTTGTATCTTATCTATTGCATGTTTTCTCAAAATAATTTATGTGGGTATCTTTTAGGTTTGCTTGATTTTTCCACACTCATGGTTATGTTCCACACGATGTAGAGACGTGAATTGTGATATATATGCGACATAAAGATAAAAAAGGTGTGTGACAGGGATGTATATTGTCCCCATTATTGTTCAATACATATTCAGAGCACATTATGAATCTAGCGCTAACGGACATAGACGAGGAAATACTTGTAAACGGAAAACGATTGAACAACATAAGATATGCTGATGATACTGTCATTTTGCAGACAGTCTTGAAGGCCGGCAGACACTTGTCTTGAGGGTGGCGGAAGTAAGCAGCAGGTTTGGGCTTGATTTTACCATCAAAAATACCAAATACATGGTTATAAGCAAAAATAGGATACCACCTGGTTAATTACTAGTTAACCAACAACCTATAACACAAATCACCAACTTTTGTTATCTGGGTGCAAACTTAGTGGGACCAATCGACAGAAATTACGATAAGGATCGAGAAGGCAAGATCAGCTTTCGTCAAAATGAAAAAAATCTTTAACAGCCACGATATAAAATTGGAAATAAAAGTTCGTTAACTAAAATGCTACGTATTTTCCGTTTTTTTATATGGCGTGGAGTCATGGACCTTAACTGAAGCATCACTGAAGAGGCTCGAAGCATTTGAGATGTGGTGCTATAGACGCATGTTAAGGATTTCCTGGATAGACAGAGTTACAAACGAAGAAGTACTACATAGAATGGATAAAGACCGCGAACTAGTTGTAACCATAAAACGTCGCAAACTGGAATATCTGGGCCATATAATGCGCAATGAACAACGATATGACCTACTTCGGACCATACTTCAAGGTAAAGTGCACGGGAAAAGAGGTCCAGGATGAAGAAGAATATCCTGGCTGCATAACCGGTGAAAATGGTTTAACTTAACCACTACTTTTCAGGGCAGCAGTCAACAAAGTCAGAATAGCCATGTTAGTGTCCAACATCCGTAACGGATAGGCACCATAAGAAGAATGGTTATGTTCAATTGGGTTCTAGTCAATTATTGGAAATATTTTATAATTCACTGCCATTTGAGCTTATTACTTAAATAATTTAGGAAATAAAATTCATTTTAATTTGTTTTATTTATAAAAATAGTTACTGGATTATAACTTGTAACTGAACACTTTAAATTAAACTATAAAATTATTAACTGTGCATGTGAGTGACATTTACATATTTAAATATACAACTATGTGACAATAATTCAGAATTCGAAATAATTCATTATAATTTTTTCAAGTTAATTTTTCCTTTTAGAAAACAGTATTATTATCTCGAATTGTTTTACTTTGTTCTGCTATTGCGATTAGATGTTTTGCCGTTGTTTTGCCTGTTTGCATAACTAGAGAATAGAAAACACCATTGATATTTTTCAAAAGAGTAAAAGGATGATCAAACTCTACAGCTTTTCCAGCATCCATCACTAGAACTTTATCCGAATCCATAATAGTATTCAATCTGTGAGCGATTGTTAAGACCGTACAATTAGCAAACTTCTTTCTGATTGTTTTTTGAATTAAAGCATCTGTGTATGGATCAACGTTTGCAGTTGCTTCATCAAGGACTAAAATTTTGTTGTTGCCAACTATAGCTCTTGCTAGACAGACCAATTGTCTCTGTCCTACACTGAAATTAGTACCTCCTTCAGCCATTTTATTGGCTAAACCTGCTGGCAGTTCGTCTACTGCTTGCTTTAATTCCACCTCTTCCAATGCGTTCCATAGCGCCTAAAATAAAAATTAAAAAATTAATTTCCTTACTAAACATGATTTAACTACAGAAACTTATTCGAAGTTAAAATATTACTGCTTAATCTAGTATGGTGCCTTTTTTGGATTGGGTATTACCCTTTAAATTGGCAACCTTGTCACTGTCATCCATCTTAAGATGGGCGTGCACATTAAAATTTTACAATATTATATAAAAGTGTAAACTGTCGAAATAAAACGACTTTGCAAGTCTAATAAAATGATAATTGTTTATTCAGCTTTTTAGTCATAATATTCTTCTTTTACCAGGTCCTGGATTATCTTTAACTAGCTAACCCGGCTCGTCATGCCGCCTTAGAATTCAACATCATCTTACAATATCTTCTACTAATATCTTCTTACAATATATCCTTACAACATCTCCTTACAACATCTTCTTACAACATCATCTTACAATATCATCTTACAATATCATCATACAATATCATCCTACAACACCATCTTACAACATCATCTTACAACATTATCTTATTTCATGTTACAACATCATCTTACATCTTGTAAGATCGTCTTACAACATCTTATAACATCGTCTTACAACATCTTGTAATATCTTCTTACAACGTTTCAATGTAAACTTCCAAGAGATAGTCTCGAACTAATGGGCTGCGAGAGGTCTAGAATTATCATGCATTACCAAAAAAGTTTGTCCAATATAAAGGGCAAACGGAATCACATGATCCTGAAGAATATTCTATATGTAGCGTTCACAAGCCTGTGCATGTTGTTAATTAAATGCCTTTCCACACCATAAGTTAGCCTCCACCAAATACAATGGTATTCGTTATGTTTCATTGCGCATGTCAATCATTTGGTCTTCAAAAAACATGAACTCATCTATCACTTGTATGCAAAGCAAAAGCGTGATTCCTCTGTCTACAGAACTCGTTCCAAATCAGCTTGTTCCCAACTCACATACTCTCTGAAAAAATTTTATCCTACAGCCCGTACTCTACAATAACCTTTGGTAACCGCTGGACCTGGGTAGCAATGCGAGGATTTAATTTTCTTCCGGAAGAGGATGTCGAACTGTTTCGAGGATTATTTGAATGCTATTTGTGTTTTGAAGCCCAGATGGTAACTGTCACAGGTTTGTTACAAATCGTTGTCTTAGAGCAGAATGCCTTAACAAACGATCTTGAGCAGGGGGTCGTGATACGGTTTTGCCTCGCATAACTCCTCTGGTATTCTCACCAGTTGCTCTTTATCATTTAACCATTCGCGGTACTGATGTATGGGATACACAGATTCTTCCACCTATTCGGAGATAACTTCGATCTTTTTGGTGACCACATTTTTAGTCAATTCATTTTTACCAATATCTATGTCACCAACAGGCGATCATTGCTTGTCTAGAAGCTATTATTTTGATGCTATCTTTTTTAGGGTTCGATGGAATGCACATTTTGAAGTGGCAACGAGCCCAGAATCCAACCAACATTTCACTAACACCAGTGTTAGTACCAATCTTTTACTATGCCATGCGGTCCACAAACATTTAGAATATTTTACTGATAGGTACAATGAAATTATCCATTTTTCTCTTTTTCCTACCTCTAAAATTCTCTAAAATTTAAAATCGTTTTCAAGACACGGTTGATCTAAAAATCTGTCAGTATGTACCATCTATTTGCAAATAGGTTTCTTGCATATTTGTTTCATTTGGTTCCGTATATCTACAGTTGGGGTTTACTAACACTGAGTCTCTGATAGTATAACTCAGCCAATATCAAATTAAAATGAGTAAAATTTCAACACATTCATTTTCCTCTGAATATAGGAAAATTCTGAAGACTAGAATCACTGCAAATTTCGGTTCTGGTCGTAATTATCGGCAGGTTTTATGACTTCTACATTGGACTTAATCAGCTGGACTATATACCCAATCCAATATCTACGCGTGCCTTTACCTATAAAATGGGATTTTTTTTCAACCGATTCAATGTTAATTATTTTTTTGTACACTTGTACGATGTTTGTATACGCCTGTGCTACGTCCAAGAAGATTGTAGAGCAGACTTTCTTTTCTGCTAATGTTTGTTCTATTATATTCGTTATTCTGTGAACTTGATCTATAGTAGAATGTTTATTTCTGAAACCAAATTGATAATTTGGTATAAGATTTTTTATTTCTATTATTGGTTTAAATATTTTCAATAGAAATTTTTCAAATGGTTTTGACATCACCGGAAAAAGTAATATTGGATGGATGTCACTTCATTAGGAGGTTTACCTGGTTTGGCGATCATAATGACTGGCTACTTTTCAGAGACTGGGAACGTATCTCAATCTAAAAGCAGCATTTATTAGGTGTGTCAGCTTAACTAAGGCTTTTCTTGGTAGATTTTTTAATAGTTCTCCTGTTATGAGATCATATCCTGGAGCTTTCTTAGGATCTATATTCTCTTTTATCTCTGTTGATACTTCTCTAAATTATGTCAACGTTATTCTTTCTTCGGGTTCGAATGGTTCTTCCCATCTCAGTTCGTCACCAACAGTGTCGTTGGGTTTAAACGTGCTTTCTAAATGATCTGCAAATCGTTCTGCTTTTTGTTCGTTACTTCTAGCCCAGTTGCCATTTTCTAACTTGATAGCAGGAGAATGTATAATTGATCTCGTCATTCTTTTTGTTGCCTTCCACAACGAATAATCTGTGTTCTGGTCAGCTGTTAAATTACTTAAAAAGGAATCAATTGTTGAATTTTTTATATTCTGTATCTCCTTTTTTAGTTTTTGGGTAGCATTATTTAGACTAGTTTTGTCTCGTGGAGCTCTGTATTGCTGGCATTTTTTCCTTAACTTACTTTTTTCTGCTATGAGTTCTCTGATCTCTTTTGGATAGTTGTTCCTTTTTGTTATACAAGTTATTGTGGAATTATTTTTCCAAGCTACCTGTTGGATATTTTTTATAAAAACTTCTAATTCGTCATCGAGTTGCCTTGTGTTTTTCAATGGTACAGCAAGAGTAATTTTGTGTTCAAGGTTTATTTTGAATTTCCCCCAGTCAGTTTTTTTGTTAGTCAATATTGAATGTAAATTATATAACTGAATTAGTTAAATATTTTGGCTGCATAATTTTAATCTCTTGAACTCAGAATGGCGAATTCAAAATGGTGAATTAATGTAGCTAAGGTGAAATAATTTTTTATAAATAATAAAAGCTGTTTAAAACCTTATGAATTATGACATTTTAATATTTTTTAAAGGTTTTTAACTGTTATAAAACTTGGATTTTCCAACAATTTGTAGTTCAATGCTTTTGGAGCAATGAAGACATAAATACAGCTTATAATTTGGCTTACCTCATCAGTATACTCATCGAAAGGATCCAAATTATTTCTTAAAGTTCCAGAAAATAATACTGGTTCTTGAGGTATAATTGAAATTTTAGATCTAAGCATCTTTAAGGATATTTTCTTAGTATCAATATCGTCCACCAAAATCCTGCCTTCGATATGGGTCAATCGGAAGAGAGCTTGAATTAAAGATGACTTTCCTGCCCCAGTTCTTCCTACAATACCAATTTTTTCTGAAGGGTTGATAGTAAAACTGAGATTTTTAAGTACAGGAGGATCGTCTGGTGTATAATAAAGCGACATATTATCAAATTGTATTTCTCCAGCATGTGGCCAAGTTTTCGGTGGTTCAATGCTATGCTCATCGTCTTCCTGTTTTAGGTCTGCGTATTCCTGAACTCTTTCAACGGATGTCATTTGGTTTTCAAGTTCACTCCATTGACGCATGCCCCATTGGAACATACCAGTGAGTCCTAATGTTTGAGTGAGTGCTAGACCCATATTACCACCATATTGTTCTAAAATATATTAATGTAAGGTTTAGTAAATTGCTGTTTAGTATTTTTTATTAACATATGTGGGGTGATAACATATTAAAACGCTTAGTGTTCGAATCTAATGAATTTCAAGAAATTTCACTAATCGATAGGTTTTATGCCGACATCAACTTTTTCAATAAAAAAGAACAAAAACAGAAAACTACCGAGGATTGTCTATTATCAGTACCTTCAGTAGAATATATGGAAATATTATTAAGCAACAGGCAGGATTTATAGGCAGATCCACAGTTGACCACCTATATAGTATTAGTCAAATAATTAAAAAAACTTCTCTTGATCAGGGAATATGTATGATATTTGTAAATTTGCAAAAAGCCTATGATAGCCTACTATTAAAGAAATTATGGAAAACATAAAAAGAACAAATATGTATGTATACAGGGTGTTTCAAAAAGGTATGTCATAAATTAAATCACGCATTCCGGGGACAAAAATAAATTGACTGAATCCAACTTACCTTCGTACAAAAGTGTACACAAAAAAAGTTACAGCCCTTTGAAGTTACAAAATTGTTTTTTTGCATTATCTCCTAAACTACTTGACATTTTGTAATAAAAATGGACACGTTACTTTCTTGTTCTGAAAGCATTTTTCGTAAAAAAAGAAACAACAAAATCTAAGAGCACAGAAAAATTTTAAGGGGGGTGTGCAGCCCTAAATCCCCCCGAACTTTTAAATACGTTCAAATTAAATGAATTTTGTGGCATCATTAGTTAAACACATTATTTTTAAAACATTTTTGCCTCATATCACTTTTTTCAAAAAACAGTTTGTATTGAGTTACGTCCCTTTTCATTAACTTTAAAAAATTACATGCAACTAAATAAATGGCTTAAATGAATTAACAAGTACAAAAATGTCTATAACTTGTATAAATTTTATATTACAATAAATGTTCAAAATGACCCCGATTTTCGGGGTCATTTAAGTAAGTGGTAAGTGGTGAAATTGTAAAGTATTTTCTAACACAATTACCTCATATTAAAAGCATTTTCAACCCCTTGAAAATCTTACAACCCTTGCAAACAACCCCTAAATTGAAAAAATCACAAAAAAATACTTTGGTATTAGGGGAGGATGGGGCATCATGGACCATGGGGGTAATGTAAACCACATCGGTTATTTTGTTTAAAATTGGCAACACTGCATCTAGTAACTACTACAAATATGAGTAGACATCTTATCTATCTACTTTTAGTATGAGTTTGAACGCACGGGGAGTACGTTCAGACGTGTTATAATTAAAAACACGTGTTTCGTCGCTGCTGATCTAAGGAATTTACTACTTTTGACTAAAGATTTCTGGGCAAGTAGACATGATTATTTTAACTTTTTGATACTGTGGTGTTGCTTGTAAAATGTGCTTTTAATAATTAAGATTTGCTTTTGATACGTTGTGAACTGGTACGTTAATTTCCATATTTTGAATGTGTACTACGCATGGGGCAACGTGGACTAGGAGTGGTTCACATTGCCCCATTATATTTTCTTGACACTTTTTTAATTATATGCTTCTTTTGCAGTTAGAAATGGTACGAAATTATGTGAGGAAAACTGAGCAACAATCCTGGTCTCTTGTTGCCTTGAAGAATGCTATCCGGACAGTTAAAGCTGGGGAGATGGGCTATTTAAAAGCTAGTAAAGTTTATGGTATCCCGAAAGCAACGTTAATTCGCAGATGCAAAGAAAAAGTAACAAGTAACAATTTCTCCTGACGAAAAGGGTCTAGGTTTCTACAAAACGGTTTTTACCAAGGAACAGGAAGAAGAATTGTATAATTATATCTTAGACATGGAGAAGCGTTTATACGGAATTACTTTGCTTGATCTTCGTCACCTAGCTTTCCAGTTAGTCGAAAAAAATAACATAGACCATCCATATAATAAACAAACAAACTTGCAGGTTTAGATTGTGCGTACGGATTTCGAAAACGGCACCCAGGGCTTTCATTACGTAAACCCGAATCAACATCTGCTGCAAGAGCTGAAGCTTTTAATCGTTACAATGTAAAACAATTTTTTGATCTGTATAAAGCTACTTTGGATTCTAAACATGTCAATCCAACGCGTGTTTTTAACAGTGACGAAACAGGTCTAGGTACAGTCCCCAAATGTAATAGTAAAATCTTGGCGCATAAAGGACGGAAACAAGTTGGACGGCTTACTTCTGCTGATAGAAGTGGAATAACAACAGCCGTTATTTGCATGTTATCATCAGGAATCTTCATACCGCCGATGTTAATCTTTGCAAGAAAGAGAATGAAAGTCGAACTCCAAGCTGGTGCACCTCCAGGTTCAATATTCGCTTGTAGCGATAGTGGCTGGATAAATAGTGAACTCTTTTTAATATGGTTTCAACATTTTCTTCAACAAACGAAACCAAGTGAAGACGATCCGATCTTATGGATTTTGGATGGACACAGCAGCCATACAAAAAACATAGAAGTAATTAATTTGGCTAGGGACAAACATGTACATATCATTTGTTTGCCTCCACATTCCACCCATCGAATGCAGCCAACCGATGCTGGTGTCATGGCTCCTTTAGCACGATATTATGATATGGCATTAGAAAAGTTTCTTAATAACAACCCAGGCAGAGAGGTAACAGCTTTATAAATCTCTAAAATTTTTGGTGAGGCTTTCTTACAAGCTGCAACACCTTTGACTGCTATTAACGCTTTTAAAAAATGTGGGATAGTACCTTATGATCCCAATATATTTACAGACCTCGATTTTGCACCATCTGCTACGACTGAAAGAGATTTGGAGAATAATAGTCTACCAGTGTCAAGTCAAGATGAGGCAATTCCTTCAACTTCAACTGCAGAGCCTCACTTAAGTCAAGATGAGGTAATTGCTTCAACCTCAGTTGCAAAGCTTCATACTGGTAACGATTTTCAATTGACAATTTCCCCTGCACACAATAGAGCAACAACTTCATTTGGAGCAAACAGCCCTAAAGACATTCGTCCTCTGCCAAAGAGAAGTAAATTAATGGAACCAAAGAGGAAATCTAAAAAAGGTAAAACGGCACTGACATCTAGTCCGTATAAGCTAGAATTAGTACTTGAAATAAACACAAAGGAGGCAATAGAAACAATGAAAAAGGAAAAAGCTAAGAAAAAAATAAATGATGATAAGCACGAAGATAGTGAAAGAAGTAACAAAAAAATAAAAGTTTGTCCTTCCAAAGATGGTAAGGGAAAGAAAAAAAATAAATGTAACCATCAAGTACAAGATGATGGCAATGGTGAAGATGCTGAATGTTTTTACTGTAACGAGTGGTTCTCCTCATCAGCCAATGAAGAAGGATGGGTACGTTGCTCGGCCTGTCTGAAATGGGCTCATGAAGCATGTGCGGGAATAGATCCAGAAGATGATGAAGAATTTCAGTGTGAATTTTGTATTTCTGAATAAATATAACATGTGTCTATTTTTACTAATGTTCTGTTACCAGTTTTCTAAGTATTTTTAATAAAAAATTCTTTTTACTTGATTTTATTTACCAAACATAGCCATTAGATAATGAAATAGTGTGACTTTCCTCAGTAGTTCACATAGCCCCACCCTATGGGGATATGTGAACTTTTGACATATAGTCAGTTGTCATTTTTTTGTTGAAAATACGTTAAATAAATTATGTTTCAATTGCAACTAAATGACAGTTAAATGTTTAATGAACGTCCCTAATTAATTAAACAAAACAAAATCATTTCTGGTTTAACAGTATGTTAGATGGTTCACAATGCCCCATCCTCCCCTACATAAAAAGATGTAGGTATAGAGTAAGTAATATTTTATATTTTCTATAATAATTATCAAATTTTTAACCCCTTTAAATCCTTGAAAACTACCCCTTAATAAAAAATTAAAAAAATTTTTTTTTGATAAAATTTAATTTAATTTAAATATTATTCCACACTCTCGAAAATAATTATCATATTCTTAAGCTTTTCTACCCTTAAAACTGCCTCTAAATTAAAACAGTAAATATATATGATTACATATTTAAAAATAATTTAATTTAGATTAAAAATTGCCATTTATTGAATAAAATATAATATTATTATTCATGACTTCTACATTATACATCCATATTATGTATACCTATATATATATATATATATATATATATATATATATATATATATATATATATATACTATACATTACAATAGTATTGGGTCTCTATTATACTGCGTACTTTCACATTGCTCCAAATATTTCACTCCGAAATTTTCAGTTACTAAGTAGAAAAAAATATGATAAGATAATATGATTTACAATTTATAAAAAACCATTGTAAAGGTAATTAAGAGAGGTACAACATCCTTTATTGCAATATATAGTAAAAGACCTTTTTCTAAAACGGTGAATTAAAGGGCTTAAGAGAGGCTGCGATTGAGCTACCACGCACTCTTTAAACAATCATATCTCCGTCAATTTTTGTTTGACAGAAAAAACAAAAAAACCTAACTGTTTGTCAGAAAAATACCAAAATTTTTTTATATTCCTAAATATTTAAATTTTTACACTTTTATACGTACCTGTCATTTTTGAGATATGTATTATGAAAACATTTTTTTTTTAATTTAAATTTTTTTTAATCGTGACTTTTAAAAAAAATATATGTTTTGAAGCAGCCAAACTGATACAATCTATCAAACTCTTCATAATAAAATTAATTCTAGGCGGAATACGATTAATTTTAATTTTGGTGGACATGGCACTTATGAAACCCATTGATTTAGAAGAAAAAACATTAGACGCTCCTCTTATTTGTAATACAGCTCACTTATTTTACGTGCAAACGACTTTTATTAGTGCTTATTTTAAAGCTTATTTCAAGTACTACAAAAGCCTTTTTACTAGAGTGCCTAAAATGCATCTGCTCGCCGCTAGATTGTATTGACCACATTGATTAAATTTCAGACAAAAGAAAAAACTACTTTGATCTTTAATATCTAGCTTAATATTGCAATTAAAATACTTTATAAAAAACCAAATTGTTCATTTTTTACCTGCTTCAATTTTGTATTTTATAACATTTTTGATAAAACGTATATTTTTGGAGATATTTGCAAAAAACCGATGAAAAACGTGAAAAAATTGCGAATTTTCAATTGCTAATAACTTGAAAAGTATTGGATTCTTCGAAAAACTTTATAGACGATTTTTTTCTTAAAATTATTTCTTCTATCGATATCCGAGGTTATTTAAAAAAATTCACCCCCGAGAAGGGGTGGCAACCACCCCCAGAGTGGTTGCGGAGTTCAAATCATTTTCACTTTTGAAGTTAAGGATAAGATTAACCTAATTCCAAAATTTTATGCAATTCGGTTCACAGTAAAAAAATTCGGAGCAATAATGCTTCACTAATAATAGAAAATAAACTCTATAAAATTAAACCACTTTTAAATTACTTCAATAATAAAATTGGTAAAATATATCAATCAGGAAAAAATCTATCCCTTCATGAAAGTATGGTATTGTGGCGTGGTATATTATCTTTTCGAATATATGTATGAAAAGCAAACGTCACAAATACGGACTTAAATTACATGTGTTGGCAGAACCCAAGGGCTTAGCACTTTAGTATAAAAAATAGGTATTCACATATTTCAAGTTTAGTTATTAAATTACTATTACATCTTTTAAAAAATTCTGAAATATTATTGGTTACTCCAGCATACAAACAGTAACAAACAACAGACAAGCACAACATTTTAAAAATTTTAAATGTCGATAGTAAAGGTGGAATAAAGAAAAAAGATGTAAGCTAGCTTCAAAGAATAATTTAAGAAAAGACACGATATTTGAGTGCAGCTTCTGTCTTGAAAATGACCTTTATGTTGAAAATTGTTTTTAACAATCTCATAATGTTATTAATTTGTAATTATTAATGTTATTATTGTAATAAATTTTCTATTAAAATTTCCAGTAAATGTTTCTTTTGACAATAATGCTTTTCTGCAATTCAAAAATCAAAGACGCAGATGTGAGTCTCTTAGCATATGGATGAAACATTAATGATCTAGTGCTGACGACGCCTATGAGCGTCACGGGTTAAAAAAGACAAAATTTAGCAAAAACTTCTGTAAAAAAAAGTATCCTGCCAACAACAAACCAATCACAGTTACAACGATTTACAAAAAAAAATACTCTTGGCACCTATCAATAGCATATTGTTAGGCTTTAAGCATGCAACGTGCTAATAGTATCCTTTGGGCCCAGAACAGTTAAAAAAAAGAATCTACAACTACATTGGAAGCTTAGTATGACAGATCAATATAAGACAAAAAAGATAATTACAGCTACAGATGTATTTCTGTAAGAAGATGAAGAGAAAGAAGCATATACAAAGAAATGGAAACGAGAGAGTTAACTGATAATATGTGAGTTGCCAGAGGCAGAGATTAGTGGCAGTTAGGGCATATATTATATATTGTAATACTTACCACTCTTTACAAAAACTAACGCTACTATGACCAAACCAACGTATATAACGCATATGAAATCTAACCAAAAACCAAAAGTTCTATTCGCCGCAAGATACATAAAGAATGCAGCACTGTGTAAGTTTTGATATCTATCGAATTCTTCTTTAAGAATATCTTGTGCCCGAAATGCTCTAATGGTGGTTAATCCCTGCAAGGAAGCTGTAAGGTGAGTATAAATTGGACTTCGAGCTAAAAAAGATATATATTAGCTCAAGAGAAGTAAAGATTGTTTCACCATAACAGGTTTGCAAAATAAATTTTTATTTTCTTTACTGATTATTACTGTTTTTTTTTCTGTTTGAGAGAATTTATCTGTACTTATGTGTATATACTTTCTTAAGGAATATATTATAACCTTTCCAGACTAGCTGAATGACGAAAGTCTAAGCCACAAAAAAAATATTGATTTAGTTTTCTAACTCTTTTGCTCTTATGTAAAATATCAAATTTAATTTCGAGTTAAGAAAAAGTTTTAAAACTAGTATTTATTAAACAAAAGGAAAATACTCACTAACTGATTCGACTCGTTTTACGTCACGACTTGTTTCTAAGAAAATTACCCTCAAAAAGTAGAAGAAAACTGCTATGGCCACTGTGGGTATCAAAATCCAATATGTAAGACTTCCTATTACAGCAGTAATAGCCGCCACAGATAGAGCTATCTGCAAAACAAAGCATACCAACATCAACGGAAAAAGTACAAAAAATTGTTTTATAGAGTATATGTATAAATACGACCATCTCTGGTGTGTTTTAAATTATGTTTATATATAATAATAAATAAAAAATGCCAAACTAAGTTACAACCTTAAATATATAGATCGTTGCTAACTTGAAATCCATCTTTATCTTGAGCTTTGTTTCTTTCCCGAAAACATAACGAATGTCCTTCAGCCCATAGACCAAAGTGTTATAAAGAGTTTGAAAAGCCATTACAGGAGAAGACTTTTAATGGAATTGGTTAAGAACTATGAAGATCGCAAACTAAATGTTCCTGACACCATCCTAATAATTAGTAAATCCAGGGACAAGGTGACGAGCAATACGATAAAAACTTCCTTTAAACACGCAGGATGCCTGGAATCAGGGATTAACTGAGGATGAAGATGACCTACCGTTACTTGTTTGAACCAGACAGTTTGAACTTCCTATCACCTACCAACCGGCAGATTTCGAATAATTTGATGAAAATATATCTACAACATCTGAACTTTCTGACGGGGACATCCTACAAGAAGTTCGTGTAGAAGAAGAAGAAAAAAACAATGACCCAGAAGTGGAAGCAGAGCCAGAACCAGCTCCGATCCCTCAGCCGGTATTGGATGCGACAAAAGTACTTCATCGGTTTTTCATCCATCAGGAAAGAGTGCTATGGAAGATTCTATGCGTCTTTACGACAAGGTTACGTTAGTTCTGCGGAAAGGGAAAAAGAAACAGACCAAGTACCTTTTTTAATTTATACAGTCATTTTTTTATACTGTATTGACAATCCTCTGTGGATCCTGGCCTGCTCTAAGATTCGTTACCATTCTGTTCAGTTTCTGGCAACGTGTTGTCATCTTCTGATCACTAGAACCTCTAAGTCGGTCTCAACTCCATCTAAACACCTGATCGGCCTCTACTTCTTCCTATCGGTGTTCCTCTCGTTAGGTTTTTAGCTATCATATGGTCAGGCATTCGTATTATGTGTCCAGCCTATCTAAGTCGCTGTGTTTTAATGGAAGTTGTAGAGTATCACTGCTCTTGATACTTTATAGCTCCAAATAATTTGCTGAGTATCTTACGCTTGAATATTCCCAAAAGTATTTCATCCTTTTGGGATAGAGTCCATGTTTCCGCCCCGTATGTGAGGACTTGCCTCAGCAGTGTTTTGTATATATAGTAATTTTGGTTTTTCTTTGGATATTTCTTAAGTGGAATTATTTTTGGAGTCCATAGTATGCCCTATTTGTAAGATTTATTCGTCTTTTAATTTCTTCGCATATTTTGTTGGTAGTAGACACTAGCGAGCCAAGGTATGTGAAGCTGTCAACACGTTCAAAAATATGACTTCCAAAGACTGTTTCCCGTTTCTCATTTGCTATAGGATCCTTAGTAACCAACACGTGCTTGGTTTTGTCTTCGTTGATGACTGGACCAACTTGTTTCGCTGCTCTTTCCAATTCTAGGAAATATTGCACAACATCTCGGCATGCTCTTGCGGCGGCCTATTATTTCATTCGTGTATTTCGGAATACCTTTTCCAAGGCATCCTTTTGTCTGAGTCCATCCTTTATTTTTCTGGTATACCGAATCGCGCATTATTTGGTATAGTACTGTTCCTTTGACTGTATTGCTTATATTATTTTTTTATAATATATGTTATGAAAAGTATATACAGTGTTAATTGCTTCGATTTAACGGAAACCGAAAACATCGATTTAACAAGAATCTGTACGCCGCATAAAAATATTTTTTCAAATAATAAATGCAGCTGAGATAATGCTGAACAAAAATGCGTATTATTACTTTTTCTGTCGTATGAACCGTTCTCTCAGAAATAAAGCTTGAAGCGACCAGCAACTTTAAATGTGTTATACGTGCGAAATCAATTTTTTTTATATAATATTTGTAGCTTCTCGACGGTAAAAATCCTCGATAGCTTTTGATCAGAGATTCCTGTCGACAAAAATTAAAATGGCTTTTAAAGACGAAGAGTGCAGCTTTCATATGCAATTTTTGCATTTTGCCGTAAATAGCAAAAATCTTTAAAAGCAGAAAACTTTGAAAAACCGTATCTTGCTTAAAATTATTCCTAGAACCTTCTACGGTAAATCAATTTGAAGGTGATTATTTTTTCTTACTATTTAATATACCACTGTATAAATCTAAAACTGCGCAGACAAGAGTTATAGAACAATTATTGCAAACAAATAGGGAAAATGGCCCAAAAATGGTGTGAGTGGCGAACTTTCAAAAACCGTATCTCGGATACCGTGAATCCTAAAGACGACTATCAAATGTCATTTGGTGAACAAAAGTTTTTTTATAAAGCAATGTTTATACCTATACCCTCGCGGACCAAAGTTATGGGGCATAAACAAAAAATCGCGAGTGTTACTGTTTTTTTGCTTCATTTTTTGAATATAATTTTGTCAAAAAAAGTATTTTGAACTTTAAAAGGTGACATTTCGATAGGACATTTAATTTTTAACCACTCTGTAGATGTATATGTATAAAAACTGCAAAGAATTCATCAAAATGCACTCTAGTGTATTCACCCCAAATTCATCCCGTTCTCAAAAAAGCATCCCTTTACATGATAGCACTGCGCAGTTTTTTCATATTTGGGGGTCATAGTTGTAGTTCCATTTTAATTATATAAACAATAGCCTACTGGTTAGCTCTTTCGTTGCCTGTAATGCCAATGTGGGATGGTATCCATATAAATCAGATTCGTCTAGAGTTTTCTTGAGCCTACATGAGCTTGAATTTTATGTTTCTCAAGAGGGCTTTTGGAATAAATCTGTTTAACGGTTTATAGGGTACTTAGTAAGATATGTAGAGTAATTGAATTAGGAATGCCAGTAAAATTGATCGTGAAATATATTTGGTACTATTGGTAAAGAGGTTTATATATTTATTAGTGACTGTGTTATTAAATAGAGGTTACGTTTGTTTGTGTTTGAACCCATTGGCATTGTGTGTGATAACATTAAAAACATTTAGACTAATTTATTTAACCCTTCGGAGGTCGCGGTGTATGTCAGAGATACATTCGTTTAAGTTTAATGTTTCAATAAGAATAAAAATAAAGCTGATCGAGATCAGAAGAAATGTTTGTTTTTGTTTTAAAAATGTTTAGTTTGAATATAACTAATCAAAACCTAAGCGGATTTAAATTAATTTATTGTCAAGACAAAATAAAATAAATGCAGTATTAAGAACATAACAAAATAAAAACATGTAATAATTATTATTATTGTTACTAATCTAAACCAACAATAACCCAAACACATAATTAGATTTAGGGATTAGTAAAACGGTTATAACAACTGTTGCAAACAATATTGCTATGCTCAAGACATAAAAATGTGGTACAACATTTACCATAGTATTTGGACAAAGGCGTCGCCTTTATCGCATAGCAAGAAGAACACATTTTTCTTTTATTGCCTTGACTACATCTACTGGTTTATTGCTGACACCAAATGTCTCTGAGGTTTTGATGGGATATATTGCCTAAATCCGTATATGTCCCGAAAGCTTGCCAACATATCGTCTATAGTTACGTTTTGTCCATAGAGTATACTTTTTTGCAATTTTCTATAAATAGTGAAAAGATTTGTCTAACAGCTGACAACTTATCAATCTTTATTCTATCTGGTCAAGTCGTCTTGTCATCGAATCTTATACACTTGTGAATAAATTTGAATCTTCGCATTGACATCGTAAGTCTAAATAATTCAATTCCACTACCATTTGTTGCCCTTAAATCTTCCAAATTTAGTCGATTACTGCGGTGTAAGTCAGCTAAATACGAAAAGGCCCAAAAAGATTTTAGTTCTATTTTGTCGGTTTGTTTAGCATCTCTTTTTCTGGAATATCTACTTGAAATAAAGTCTATATATTTATTTGTATAATGTAAAATAAAAGCTAAAAGTTCTTCTGACACGAAACAGCTCCAGCATTCATATTCAGTTTTTGAATTTTTGCAGTATTCTTTACTAGATGCAATTGACACAGCATATTTTGTTTCTCTCTGGCTTTTTCCCCACTTTGTCTTTTCCGAAAAATACTGCCCGTTTTCATATACGTTCTCTTCGCTGTTCTCACTAGAAATGTCTTGTTCGCTGTCCGAGTTTTCTGATCGCTTTTCGACATAAGTAATCGATTTCGTCCACGCCACTTTCGTCTTCAAACTCATTTCTTTCATTTCCATCGTCAGAATCGAGAACATACGTTGAAGCTCTTCAACATCCTTTGGATCATTTAACTTACATACCTTTTTCAACATTCTTAATATATCGAGCAACGAAATAAACACGCCGCTACCGCTAGAAATTACCTGAAAGCTAGGCAGTGCCGTAGAATTATACGATGCACTTCTTTCAAAATATTTATAAAAATGTTTTCAATGTATCTCTCAGATCAGCCGCGACTTCCGGAGGGTTAAAACTATAAAGTTACATTGAAATAAAAACCGTAAAAGCCACTTACTTGTACTGTATCCAATAAAGTCGTTGGTAACACCTCATCCACTGAGCCGATATCTTTAGAAAATCTGTTAAGTATTCTTCCAGACGGATTAGTATTAAAAAATCTCATTGGGCTATATACTATATTCATGAACATCTTATTATGCATTTTTGTTGATGCAGCTATACACCACAAATAAAAACTTAGTGATCTAATGTTAACAATAATAACGACTGATCCTACAAGGATAGTATAAAAATAAACAGTATTCTTGGAAGTGAACAACGGAGTCAGCCACCAATTTTCAAATGAGTGATAGATTTCTGCATCTGGATCTGTTGAATTTATTATAACCTTGGTTGAGTTCCATTGTTGGATATTTACCCTAGAAATCAAGTATTAAATATTACTTTTATTGCAATTAGCATATTCACAATTCTTAAATGATAGTTATTGGGTATGTCCACACTAGTGCTCTTTTATT